GCTAGAGAGCAAGATTATTTGCTTGACAAGAATCACAAGGGCATTCAAAGGGGACAATGGATTCTACTACTTGGACCTCTGAAGGTGTTTGTGAGTCACAGCCTTATGGGCAGAAACCTCTCTAATGAAAGGACACTGGAGGGGATGTGGGGACCTCTGAGCTCAGAGATGAGCCCTGAAACTTCTAGTCCAGGTCAGCATACAATAAATGGTCAAACCCAAAGCAAGAAGCAGCAGAATATCGTAGCGAAGAGCACAATCTTCAAGTTTCAGAACTATGCCTTTCTACCTTACTGGCTATACTACTTTGAACAAGTAGCCAACCTTTCAAAGCTTTCATTTTCCTATATGTATGAGATAAAATGTGACAATGCATATAAAAGTATTAACACAATGATGACACATATAGGCCCTGAGCAAATGGTATCTGTAAAAGCTAAGAAGGAAATGAAGAAATTTAAGTCTTTTTTTACTCCAGTGAGAGCATTTGAGAGGTGAAGTGTCCCTAAATCTGCATGAGAAGAGCAGATGAATGCAGTATTCAGATGAGTTAAAGAGTACATCTATCCTGATAAGGCTGAAAACCATGGGCAAGGAACACTGGCTACAAACATTGGATGAATCAATTTGACTCTTTTTATCTTAGGTTTCTTACCTATAAATCTGGACTTGATGATATTTTACAAACCTTCCAGATTTCACATGTTATGACTCCATAAATGGGATGGATTGTTGAATTATGACAAAACTCTTTCATTTTCTATGACCTTACACAAGAATGATGCCCTCAGATGATCTGACATTTTGCAGCTCTAACTTGCCTCATTAATTCAAGATTGAAGCAATAACAGATGGGATTGACAGTGGAATTGAAATTGAAATTAGCACATAAATTATATAGCAAACTATTAATTTGGTATAGAAAACCCATGATTGTTCACAAAGTTTGGTATAATTGTTTTGTTGGGGAAAGTCTTTTGTTTTGTTAAAGGTGCCTGAATCAGTTTGGCTTAAAACAGTTCCTCTCTGTGAATTCAAATTAATTGAAAAGTTTTCAATAATTATTAAAGACTTCATTGAAGTCTTATACACAGAGCAGGAATTCATTATTCTTTCCTTTTTTTTTTTCATTTTCATTCCATGCAATTTCCCAGTCTAGTAACACTGGAATCGCTAGGATATTTTAGCTTTATGAGTCCTGCCACTTTGCTGAGTTCTTTTGTAAAAGGAGGAGGAGTCCCAGCAATGTGCAGAAGTGACCAATATCCTCTTCTCAGGATTCAGCTGGGGTCTGCAACCCATCACAACTTCCCAGTCTGGTCAACTTCCCTAAACTTTGTAAGAATCATCTGTGGAGGCCTAGAACTCACAGTTATGGTTTTACTCCTTAAGGGATCAATCAGTTGCCTTTAGATGTTTCTTAGACAAAACATTTCTCAACGTAGTTCTCTAAAAACCAAGAGAGTTTACCTAAAGCTTGGAACATTGCAAATAAAATCTAATATATGAAGAAATTTCAAAACCCATGATTTCTTGTTTTCAAGAACATCTGCTATAATTAAAGACTCAAAATCAGAAAGAAAAACATCCTGAAGTTCCTTGAGGCTGAAGCTTCATCACTGTGTTCACAGAAAATTGGCTGAGGAAAGTCTTTCATAGGTATCGGGGCATGTGTCACAAAACACTAGTGGATATAATATAATGATATAGTTACAGCTTTATGCTATTAAGTTGCTAGTAAGGCATAATGATGTATATTAATGGTAGAGAGAGGCATAGAACAAGCCTGACCTTAAGAAAATAATTCCAAATAACCCACCCATCAGTGGTATACAAAACAGAATATAGCCTGTAGGCAGAAGGAAATTTTAGGAAAGAAAAATATCTTCTGGATCAAGTAAAATGACCAAAACTCCCCCCCCCCCCCAAGCAACAAAATTCCCCAGCTTGTCTGTATTTTATGTAAGCACAATGGAAAGAAATGCAACCTTCCAAAAAGGAGTGCTTACTCTGAGTTTTGAGCACTTGCAGGCACAAAGACTAAGGATTATGTAAATATTATTGCCAGGAACCTGAAATGTAAAAACAACAGCCCATCAAAAAATGAAAAACTGAACACTGATAGGTTTCACAGAACAGAATCAGCAGGAAGGGAAGCAGTAACATGGGGTATGGATGTCAATCCATTCTCTTTCCCCACTGTGCAGAAATATGTGGAGCTTTGCACCCATGCATTGAGCGATATTTTTAATCATGTCAATTGTTTGTGACTATGTTAGTAACTAACAGGATGTTCAGAGACCTCATCAGGAACAAGAACAGGTACTTCTGGAAATGTAACTCGAGGAACTTCTATAATTTGTGACAGGAATTCTTGAATAAGCCTCTCAGAGCTTTTGTGTGTGGGTGAGACACCCCTATGACCATGACTAAAAATGTTCTTCTCTTATTTTGCAAAATGACATATGTAGAACCAGAGATAAATTGTGTGGTTAACAGAGAAGATAGCAACAGTGATTTCTTTCTCTACCTTCGTGTTTTGACTCTAAAAAAATATTCAACAAATAATTTTAAAATATCTGTTTGAATTTGAACCAAAATCTGTCTGAGATAATCATGTGTCTCTTTCTAGCCGACGTAAACATGAAAACAGTTCTTAGTTCAGACTTAGATTGGGTCACATGCAACAAAAACATCATCATCTTCATAAGGATCCATTGTTAAAGATTCCCTAGGGGTGCTGTTATAGATCCTTTCCAGTCTGGCCAGGATTGAAGTCTGCTTGGTTAGTGGGGTCAATGTTCTTGCACTCCAAAAGAGCCAAAGTAGATAAAACAAACATTTTGTAGAGTAGTTCCTTTGAATAACTTAGTTTCCATTTGTGTTTCATTGACTCTTCCACTTACCTTTTTCTCAAAACATCAAACACACTATGTAACTGGTTGCATTTATCAGAATTCCTTTAAAAAAGTATTCCATACATATCTTAATAATGCCTCACCTAGAAGAGTCAAATATCTGATGACCAATCTATCCCATCTGTTTGCAAAATCTACTTGAAAACAGAAGTCTGTAATTTTTTCTTTCTACAAAAGTGGAGGTTTTACTAAATATATTGCTATGGACCTATATGGTGTATGTATGTGTGTGTATGTCAGTTTATATGTAGGATTTCATCCCTACCCCATACAGGATATTTAGATGAATAGCCTGAACAATTAAAAATAGCACAATAATTTAATTACACTTAATTTGATAGTGTATTTCAAGTTAATTAAATCTTCGTAGTCCATCCCTTTGTATAAAAGCAACAAGACACATGCTTCCTCTCAGCATCCCACCTTGATAGGCTTCCTGATTTCTCAGTGCCATACATCCAAGATGACCAGAGTGTGGCCATTTCTATGATCTCTTCTTCAGATAAGTTTTGAGGTTCTAGCAACGCTCATGTGAGACTAACACAAAAGCTCTGAGAGGAAAAAAGGCAAATTTTAGCCCAAAATGTGACAACAGTGATTGCTGAGATGATCCATAGAATCAAGAGTAGGGACAATAGAAGTATATACACTGTTTTCCACAAGGGACATATAGGGACTAAATCCTTTTCTTGTCCCATTCTTGTGATCAATGGATTCAATCTTAGACACTCGCTTTCTCTACCCCTAAATTACATTACTTGGCTGTCAAATCATCTCCAGTTTACTCTTCTTAATGGGAGATAGTTAATTCAATTTCACTCACTTAAAGGATTTCTGAAAAAATAGAACAATAATTCTGATTTCTGTTCATATAACAAAAAGAGTTCATTAAATTAGATACCCCCCAAAAGAAAAACAGCTTACACCCTTGTGATGTGAGGAAGCAGGAAAATAGTGAGTTCTATGCTTTATTGCTTTGCTCTGCTGCCTCAGATGAATATTTCTTTTAAGGGAGTTTCAAGTCTTAGGTTGAATGGGAAATTTAATAATCCCTTGGAAGGACACAAATTATAGTGACTGAAGACAATAGTTTGAAATTTGACTAAAGGGATTCAAATCCAATTACCACCACTCCTAATTGTTTGACCTTGAACATTCACTTAACCCTAAATTCCTCACCTCTAAATGTGGGTAATTTTAATATCTTCCTCTTAAAGTTAATATCAGAATTAAATAAAATATTCCATATAAGATATTTAACATAGTATTGTACACATAGAATAAACTCAATATACATTAGCTACTTTTATTGTTTTCAAGCTGGCAATGTGTTATTTTTGACACAGGTTCCAGCTTGTGATTCAAAGGCTTTGCTGTCTCCCCTTCCAAGTCAGTCACCCCCCAATTCTTAAAATGGATTTTCAAACTTTAGTGGATTTAGAAAATGGAAAAACAGAGTCACAGAATGATATCTGGATCCCATGATGCTGTGCAAACAAGGAGTTTGTGCCACAAAGAGGTACCAAAGAAAATCAAGCCAATGGTTAGAGACTGGAGCATCTCTTCACAGTCATATTCAGGCCATAAGGCCAAAAGCTTCCATGGGAGTGGGGACTGCCCTGTTTCTGTGAAGTGTCTGTTCCTTTGTTTCCTCATTTTTACCTAACCTCAAGTCAAAACTTCCTCTGTCCCTCAAAAATGAAACCCAAATGTCAGAATGTCATTTAATTTTCAGAGGAATAGGTGCTAGTTTGGAGGAAATTTATAATGACAAGGAGCAAACACTCTTTGGAATATGATCTTTTTGTTATAGGTAAGGGAATATGCCATCAAATGACAGGATTTGCTTCTTTAGAAGAAGCAAGCATTGCCTCTGTAGTGATAAAGCACACAGGATTAAGGAAATTATACCATAAAGTTGCCACAAAGACTGAATTAGTGAACAGTGAACCACTGCTCCTAGGTCAATACTAGGTTAGATTCCCATGGGCCTCTGATCCATTTTCATCAACCCATTAATAGATAAACTTATTCTTATATGTGCATTTCTGTTTAGAGACTTCCTTTAAAAAAACACACACACAACATATGGAATAATTCACACATTTCATGTCATCCTTATGTAGGGACCATGCTAATTTTCTCTATATAGTTCCAATTTTAGTGCATGTGTTGCTGAAGAAATATATTCTGTTGAGTCATTAATATTGAACTCATGGCTAACAGCATTATATGTCATGTGTGAACAATGCTTATCTAACACATATATTTTCTTTTTTAAAAAAAGATTTTATTTATTTTTATGTAGACTAACTGGAGTGTAGGCCAGAGGTGTGAAGGGTGAGAGGATTCACCTGAAATAGAGTGGGGAGCAGAGCAGGCAGATCTACTGAAATACACTGCTGAGTGGAGCAGGAGAGAGATAGGAATGGCCTGCTGTGGCATATGTGGGTTAGTATCTTGGTTGGGGCTCGAACTTGTGCTGCAGTGGCTGTGGATAACTTCACAGTGCTGAGACTTAACCCCTTGCACCACCAGGGAGGCCTGAATGCATATATTTTCTTTTTTTTTTTTTTTAAAGATTTATTTATTTATACAAGAGCTGGGGTACAGGCCAGAGGCATGGGAGGGTGAGAAGATTCACCAGAGACAGAGCAGGGAGCAGAATAGGTAGATGGACCAAAAGCTCTGTTGAGGGGAGCAGTGGGCAAGACAGGAGAGGTCTGCTGCACTATGTGGGTAGCTCCCTGACCGGCCAGGAATCAAACCCACACTGCAGAGGCTACAGACAGCTTCACAGTGCTGTTTTCAACCTGCTGCACCACCAGGGCGGGGCAAGGGGAGCGTCCAGAACACATATATTTTCTCTATAAGGCACATCACATCCTTTAGCACTTGTGGACACCAGACAGCACAATATATGCACTGCATATTAAATAGTAAAATCAGCAAAAAAAGAACATAAACATGTGAAAAACATGGCACCCGAAAGGATACTCATTTACTGTGAGAGATCTGAAATGAGAGGGCTCAACATTACTCTTTCTCGCTTATGTGGGGATGTGTGTATTGGGCAACTCAAAATTTTCACTATTTTGTGCATTTTCACAAATGATTGCAAAAGCGTTATGAGTATTGATGTAGTGGTTACCCATAAATCTTAGTGTAGTGAGTAGGCAAATTCACAAATACAGAATCTGTGAATAATGAGCATTGACTATCCTAAACTGTTTGCCAATGTACCTTTCTACCAGCAGTGTAAATTCTTTGTTCCACATTCTCACAGCACTTAGCAGTTTCAGATTTTATATTTTACAATTTGGTGAATAAGTAGTGGTTTTCTGTGCCATTGCTGGATTAGGGTACTCAGTGCTTTCAACATATGTGATACAAAATAGGAATTTAGGATTTAATGAATTAATAACAGGGCTAGACCATAGAATCAAATTAACTTTTAAATTGATAGGTTCCATAAATGTCCATGTTTTTTCAGGGTGTATCAAATTTTGTGCTATATTTTGAAAATATTATAGGCAAATAAGCCCAAATTGATTATACAGCCATTTCAGAACAACAACAACAAAAAAAAAGTGGGGATTTCATATCTGCTCAGGCAAGTGCCAGAATGGCAAAGACAAAAGGAACTATCAATGTTTCGTGAATTTTTTTCCCCTCTTCATTCAGTTGGAAACATACAAATGATTTCTACCTATTATATACCAAAAAACAAAAACAAAAAGCAAACAAACCATGGTATAGAAATGAATTTGCCTCTAATTCCTCCATCCAGTAACTGAGACAGTAATCTGAGACACCAGTCTTGTTTGTGTAGTTGTTTGGAATATTTCATAATAATAGAGTGATTAATTTGACAGTTACATATTGGAACATAAGAAAGGAAAACCTCTAAGTTTCATTGTAATGTGCAAAAGAAAGCCATGTTATGCTGTAACTTTCTGTAGCATTTCTTTATAGGGCTGTATATGTACCTTACTTTTTTTAATATGGGACAATACAGAGAGTTACCTAGACTTAAAGGAACATGTTGATTTTGTCTCCAGGAAAGGTGATTAATTGGTGATTTGTAATATCTTATTAATCTGTATTAATTTGAATACAGAAAAAACACAGTTTGTTGCAAAATGTTGCAAGATCTAGAAAGCGTCAAGGCTCATGGGGTGATTTCTAGGTCCTCTCAATGAGGGGATGCCTAAGAAAAGGTTATTTTTCTGATTCTTGACTAACTTAGCATTTTAGTCTGTTCAGGCTGCCATAACAAACAACCATAGACTGAGTAGCTATAATGACAAACGTTTCTTATAGTTCGTGAAGTTGGCTTCTTGTATTTGGAATAGGAGATCTTCACAGTCTTAGATTAACTCTACCTCATTTATTTCTGATCTTGACAGTGATGGCTTTTTCTAATTTCTCAATTCACTAAATCGCTTCATCTCATTCAGTGTATTCTGCACTTTTTTTTTTTTTTTTTTTTTTTTTGTGGGACCCTCGCCGGCCGGGGAACGAACCAACGCTGCAGAGGCTGCGGGCAGTCTCCCAGCCCAGCGCTCAACCGCTGCGCCATCAGGGGAGGCCCTGCACATTTTTTTCATTAATTCCATTGCTTAAAATTCTACCAAGTTTATATTAGGGTGCCTTAGGAGGTATTCTTGTGTTCTTCCATCCCCCACAGCACACACAAACACACCACAGCACACAAACACACATACACATTTTTCTTTTTTTCTATATTCTGGCAATCATAGTCACGAATTCACTTCTATGACTTGGAAAATGATCTCTCTTTATAAGGGAAAATTGCCTCTGTACTTCAGTCCCATCTTCGAATTTTAATGTATGCTCAGATTTTCAAATAATCTTAGATTTAAATGGCTAACATCCTCCAAAGGCTTTTTCAAATGATTTTATTTTATTTTATTTTCAGTTTTGAGGTTTATACATTTATTTTTTTAATTTTATTTTTATATTCCCCATACAATTGCAACCCCCTTATTTTGATACCAATCCCTCCTTCCCGCCCCCCCAGTGTGTCTCTGGTTCATAGTTGTTTGTTGATTTTGCTTTTTCTTTCTTATAGTTATTTTTTTTCCTGGTCCCTTATTTAGGTTTTTTAGATTCCTGCTATGAGTGAGACCATCCGGTATTTTTCTTTTTTATTACAAAGTATAGATAATTATTATCTTCCTATATGAACTTCTAAAAAATAGTGGTTTTCAGTACTATTATAACTGTCATTAATAATTTATTGTGATTACGAATACATGTAAACCCTATTTGAACATAATTTCATGCTCACTGTAAAAACATTGAAGCGTTATTTTGTCCTCATGATAAATTCTCTTATTTGTTTAATCACTATGTATACTCCTACAACTTTACACAAATCACTTGATGTAGCATTCGTCCTCAATTTTTATATTTATTAAAACAAATTTATAGTCAAATGGTTCAACATTGTGGCACAAACTCAAGAACAGGATTCACATCACTGTATTAAGACCAAAGGTCTGAAAATAGGTTTTTTCCAAACAACTGGGAGTTACAATTAAAGATGTGAATTATAAATAATAAAATAATAGTTAAGAATAAAAATACCATAAACCTACAAGTTCAAAGAGAATGAGACGACATCAGTATTGTAGAGATTTCATTATATCCTTGTAAGACTGACAACTGATGGAGAAGTATAATTGATTATATGAAACTCAGAAAAGCCAAAGTTTAAAGGATGTGCAGCGGGGAAAAGAAATGAGATGGGAATGAGTGAATGGGCCATGCAGAATCAGGAGAGGTGATGGAGGCATGAGATACAAGGGACCTAGGGTGAGAAATGGGATAAAAATGGGATGAATTCAAAGTTTGTATTTGAAACAATTCTCAGCACCCTCCCACACCCCACTTTGACCCCAATCCCTCCCCCCCAACACACACACATGACCCACCGTGCTGATTTCTTTGCTCAGAATGTCAGGTAGAAATTTAAAGGTTAAGTCAGTCAAGAAGTTAAGCTGTTCAATCTTAGCACTCAGGGGTGCTAGAACTAGTAGAGGAAAGGTGTAAGACAGAACGACTTGTTAGATGAACTTCTGTGAAGATGGAAGTTAGAAATCTATCTTTACCCAACTCTAGATAACATGCTGTTTTGAGCAACACAGCTATTGGAGACTGAAATTTGGGAGCACAGACCTGGGCATGTTTAGCATCTACTTGGAGAAAACTTGTGGATGTTCTCTTTTTTCCACTAACCAGGAATCTGCATCCAATGCCAGAAAATTTGTGCTGGGCATTCCAGGAGTAGAACATGGCAGGTTCCCAATGACTCTTCAGAGCAAGGGTCATCAGTCCATGAGACTGTGACTGATAATTCTGGAACTTCAAGGAGGTGAGAAAAATGCTTAACAAGTCCTCTCAATGTTTAAACCCACAAGAAAGAACAGGGGTGATAAAGGCTGCCTCCTGTTGTCAAAACATGGGACTGCTACACTGGTTAATGCTGTATATTTGTCCTACAAAGTAAAGACCATAGTAACTTCACCATTTAAGGTAACCTAGAGGCCTACCTGAACCCCAGTTATCAAAGGAAAATAATAACTGACAAATAACCCAAATATCAGACAAAGCACACAAATAGCCAAAATAGTAGAATTCTCTGAAAAAGTTCCTAATAATACTGAGCTGCTGGAGGGAGAAAACAGCAACTTAAATAAATGATAATAATAATAAAAAAAAAAACTTAATGAAAATTAAACTTTTACAAGAAAATAATTTTTAAAATGGACCTAAAATAATGATCTTATAACTTGTCACTCCCCCACCTCTGTACCACCGCCCCCCAAAAAGGGAAGAAATCGAACTGGTTAAGGTTCTTGCTTGAGTTATTTGCTGAGGGGAAGCTGACAGTGAGGAACAGGGCAGTACATGTGGCCGCACACTTCATGCACTATAATTCCAGAGGAATCATTCTGGACAGAGTTAAGTGGCTCCTATGATCATTTATTCTTAGTGTCCATTCCCTTTTTTGATCCCTTTTCTTTTTTTTAAGATTTATTTATTTATACAAGAACTGGGGTGCAAGCCAGATGTGTGGGAGGGTGAGAGGATTCACCAGAGACAGAGCAGGGAACATAACAGGCAGACTGATGAAACACACTGCTGAGGGGAGCAGTGGG